CAGCTGTTTAACTGAGAAGCAACACGTTGCCATGATGGGGCCAACCCGGGGGTGTTGATGAGAGGCGAGATGAGGCAGGAATAAGTGAATAGTGATGGCATTGTTTGGCTTTCTCACACCATAATGAGAAAAGCCCTATTATAAGTCTTTAAATAACCTTAATTAACTAAATATAATAAAATTTATATTCAAAAGTTGCTGATAGTTTCGAAATATACATATACTGAAGATACTGCGCATTTTGGCAAATTTCCCTTGTTCTCGAACCCTTATCCCCATTCTGGAAGCTGGTTACTTTTGGTATTCCTCTCGTTGCCGTAAGGAAATTGCATGTGGATTGGTGCGCGCAGGATAAAAACTCTCAGCTCGAGACCGTAATCTCCAAATCCCACCTCCTTCCTCTTAAGCCAATCCTCCGAAGGCCAGTTATGCTCCAATCACGAGGCTTTCCCTTGTCTTTTTTAACAATTGGCTGGATGCACACGCATTACGAAATGGGCTGAATACATTATATATATATATATTAGGTAGTTTATCTGATTAAAAATAAAATATTTACACCTCGTTTTTGGTATTTAAAATATAAATTTAGTGCTTGAATGCCCCTGATTAAATGGCTCCGACTGGCATGTGCCAATTACTGACTCAATGTCATTTAGCCATTTTCCTGGCCCCTTCATGCAAAAGTCTTCTGCTGCCCTGGAGTGCACAGAGCATTTAGATAGACAAAATTAGAAATACTTCAGGTTGTGAGGGTTCTGAAATTCTCCAGGGGCAAGGTTAGCATCATCAGTACTTACGCTGCTCGCATCTGACCCCAGCATAGCCACCAATGCACTGACAGTGTTCTATACCGTTTGCGGAGCGCCGACACATGCCAGCGTTCAGACAGCCGGATGAGTTGTGCATGCAGTTGGTGTTGATTAGCAGATCCGAGTCTCTCTGCTGCGGTCCCAGTCCATCCGAGGACGCAGGAGTACCGTGGCGTCGTCTGGATTTCCAACTCAGCTGTAGACTTGAGGATGTTGGCACCAACGTACTCTCGCTCTCTCCACCTTCTGACCAATGCCCCACTCGTTTGCCTTCTTGTCTCAGCTCTTCCCCACCATCTCGTCCTTGTGTTTTCCATCGGACTTGTCTGAGACCCATCCTGGCGTGTCTATCATCAACCATAGACTGTGCTTCCTCCTCCCATGGCCCAGAGACCTCAGTCTCCTCATCCATTCCTGTCGGGCTGTATCCAACAGTCATTTGTCGCGGAGTTTGGCGCCGGGTTGGACGCTTCCGTAAACGCATTTGGCCGGAGTCCGAACCAGCCAAATCTATGTTCCCAGTCGAAAACAATGATTCCAAGGCGTTGCTCTGACGGCAGCCTGGCAAGACACCGATAGCAGTACCATAACGACTGCCACTTGTTAGGTTGCTAGTTTTTTCAGCTCGAGAAGAGCCGGTCACCGGAGCTCCTTTTAAGCGGGCAAAGTTGATCTGCCTGCCGTTGATGTAAACTGCATGAAGACATCCTGTAAAAGAAGTATGCGAACAGGAAGTAAGATAAAATATACGTATAGCGAAATTATCAATAATAAAATAAAATACAATAAATATAATACACAATAATAATAATGATTAATAGTAGGAATATTAAATATTAATAATGAGGATAATAATATTAATTCGAATAAATCCTCATTCAGAGGGGTTCCACAAAGTCATAGGAGGAGGAGAAGTAGGCTTTTCCATAAATGAGCTAAGGAAGTGAATGATAAGCAGAAGCAGTTCCATGGAGATGATTAGTGACGCAACCTTGGTAACACAATATTGCAATATATTTGATCCGAGGCTAGCAAAAAAAAACGGATGGAGGAAAGTTAGAATGCATAAATGTACCTTTATCTTGCTTTTCGTTCCCCTTTATCTCTTATCCAAATACTTGCATCCACTACCCTAACTTTGTTGGACTCCGTTGTATAAGGGCCTTTGGAGTTAGGCTCTTAGCGACATGACAACACCTGCTAATACTAATGCATACATGCACGCGAACCGGCAACGGCGGACCAACTAGCTCTTGTTTTTGAGAGGGTTTTTGCATCAGTTTATTAGAGCTAATATGCCTCTAAACTAATTTGTGATGATAGCCCAAGAAAATGCCACCCTCAATGAAGCACTTTCCCAAAAATAAAAGGTCTAAACTGATGGAAAATCGTAAGTGATCTTTGGATGCTCAAGTTTTGAGCATAGCACACTAATTGAGAATTTATCTGACTATGAGGAATAGAAGATATTTAAAGTTTTCAAAAATAAGCAGAGCATCGTATTGAAGCTATGAAGACCAAGGTGTTGTGGCCTCTGGTATGGTCGCGCTCTCCTTTCGATTTATAGAAGTGGGTTGACCTTGTTGTCGCAACTTGGTTTTGTTGTCAGGGGGATTTAGTAGAACACACTTAGTCCGAAGTCATCGTTTGTCAAGGGATTGACTTCACTTGTCTCTTTGACGAGTTCGTAGCTTGGTGCGGAGAAGAGCAAAACTCACTGATGATTCCGACTATGATGCCGGCGAAACGTTTGAGAATGTACCAAGTCCACTGTCTGATGCTGGGAATCAT